CCTGGGTCTGGACTTTTTAAATTGTAAAGCTAAAAATTTGCCCCATTGTTTGAGTCAGATTTCTCTAGAGAAACAGAAACAATAGGATGTGTATCTATAAGAAGAGAGATTTATTGTAAGAAATTTGTTTACACGATTATAAAGTCTGACAAGTTTAAAATCTGCAGTGTGGGTCATCAGGGTGAAAACCAAGGAAGAACCAATGTTGTGGTTCAAGTCCAAAGATCACCTGCTGGAAAATTCCCTGTTGCTAATGGAAGGTCAGTCTTTATTCCTAGTTATGCCTTCAACTGCTTGGATGAGGCTTGCTCACATTGTGAAGGGTGATCTACTCTATCCATATTCCTCTGATTTAAATATTAACCCCATCCAAGACACCTTTACTGAAACAACCAGAATGATGTTTGACCACAAGTGTGGGTTCCATGACCAAGCCAAGTTGATGCATAAAATTAATTATCACATCCCTCTCCTGTCTGTTGCCTGCCTTGTCATTGCTTCTCTAAGATAACAGCAGCCTACTCAGTACAAGGAAACAGTAGCAGGTGCTGTGGGGTAAAAGCAGATGGAGAGAATTTGGTTTATATTTTTTAAAATATCTGACATGTATAATTATATTATGTATTTATTTATTTTCACTTTTGCTAATTAGAACTACCCAGTATGCTACTTCATAAGTATGTTTTCATTTTTGCAGAGGTTTTAATCTTTGGTTTTCAAAAAAAAATAAAACTTCTTGAAAGTAGGTGTTGGTTCATCTCCCATTGATTGCAGTATTTTATATAAATAGACAGTAAGTTCCACTAATTGAAAATATTTCATTTTAAACTGCAAGGTACAACACTGTATTAAGTGAAAGCAATGCAACTTTCAAGTAATATTTGTCAACAGAAAAAAATTGAAGTGTAAATGCTTTCATTGAACTTGATTTTCAAAAAAACATTTTTTTTTGAGACTTGTATTTTTTGCCTTTATGCAAAATCAAAGGTCACTAGTCAGGTAAAAATTATAGAAAAAATTTTCCAAAGTGAGGAATGGTTTTTGCTTTAAACAGCAGAGTGGTTTTTCTTCTTTGAATATCATCTGTGTTCTTAATTTTTAAAGTAGATTTTCTCTGAGTGATTTTTGAAAGCCAACAAAGTAATACTTACATCTTCCTTTAAGTTGCTGGGAGACCACAGAGTATTCTAGCCTGAAGTGCCACCTGGTACATCTTAAATTATCTGAAGCAGAGATCAAGCTGGGCTAAGGAACAAAAAGTGGCATATCCTTAATTACCACAAATGATACCTAATTACCTTCATGCCAGCTTTAACATAATACTGAACACAGCTGAGATGGTGTTTGATTTTAAAGTGAGTTACACAAAATTACCTTTCCAAACCAAACTGACTTTACCAATTTTGCCAACTTGCATTTTAATATTGCATTTCAATAGCTACCCTTTGGGTACACATGTTATCAATATGCCTGACTGCCTTTTGGTCACTGATATTTAATACTTTCCTAGGCTTTTTATAACAAAATAGCTTTTGGTTTAACATTGAAATTGCAGAAGTAATTGTTTCACTGTGAATGTACTTAAAGTTGCTCTTGATACTTCAAGTAGAAATAGAAAATAACAGACATTTATTGCCATCAAAATGGAAATGCAGTAATTATGTCAATAGATTTAATCTATGAACTTTTCTTGATCTCTGTTCAGATAAAACTATAATAGTTGTACAAGCCTCAAAAAGCTACCTTAGTAAGTGTTTTAGAATTTTTTTATTGTAAGAGACTAGCTAGGACTGGTCTTCAGTCTTTTGTAGCAAAAGATTTAAGATAGTGTATTAGTCCATTCTCTTGCTGCTAATAAAGAAATACCCAAACTGGGTAATTTATAAAGAAGAAGAAGTTTAACGGATTCACAGTTCCACATGGCTGGGGAAGCCTCACAATCATGGCAGAAGCCAAAAGAGGAGCAAGTCATGTCTTACATGGCATTAGGCAAGAAAGCATGTGCAGGGGAACTCCCCTTTATAAAACCATCAGATTGCATGAGACTATTCAATATCACGAGAACAGCATGGGAAAAACCTGCCCCTAATGATTCAATTACTTCCCACCCTGAGTCCCTCCCATGACATGTGAGGATTATAGGAGCTACAATTCAAGATGAGATTTGGGTGGGGACACAGCCAAACCATATCATTTGGCCCTGGCCCCTCTCAAATCTCAAGTTCCCACATTTTAAAACACAATCGTGCCCTTCCAAAAGTCCCCCAAAGTCTTAACTCATTCCAGTATTAATTCAAAGGCTCAAGTCCAAAGTCTCATCTGAGACAAGACAAGTCCCTTCCACATATGAGTCTGTAAAATCAAAAGCAAGTTAGTTACTTCCTAGATAAAATGGGGCTACAGGCATTGGGTAAGTATAACCATTCCAAATGGGAGAAATTGGCCAAAACAAAGGGGCCACAGGCCCCATGTAAGTTCAAAATCCAATAGGGCAGTCATTAAACCTTAAGGTTCCAAAATGATCTCCTTTGACTCTGTGTCTCACATCCAGGTCACGCTGATCCAAGAGGTGGTTTCCCATGGTCTTGGGCAGCTCTGCCCCTGTGGTTTTGCAGGTTACAGCTCCCTCCCAGCTGCCTTCACAGGCTGGCATTGTCTGTAGCTTTTCCAGGTGCACACTGCAAGCTGTTGGTGGATTTACCATTCTGGGGTCTGGAAGATAGTGGCCCTCTTCTCATAACTCCACTAGGCAGTGCCTCAGTGGGGACTTTGTGTGGGGGCTCCAACCCCACATTTTTCTTGTGCACTGCCCTAGCAGAGGTTCTCTATGAGGGCTCTGCTCCTGCAGCAAACTTTTGCCTAGACATCCAGGTGTTTTCATACCTCTTCTGAAATCTAGGCAGAGGATCCCAAACCTCAATTCTTGACTTCTGTGCACCCACAGGCCCAACACTATGTGTAAGCCACCAAGGCTTGGGGATTGCACCCTCCAAAGCCACAGTCTGACCTGTACCTTGGCCCCTTTTAGCCACAGCTGGAGCAGCTGGGACATAGAACACCAAGTACCTAGGCTGCACACAGCAGGGTCCCCTGGGTCCAGCCCACAGTACCATTTTTTCCTCCTTGGCCTCCAGGCCTATGATGGGAAGGGCTGCTGCAAAATCCTCTGACATTCCCTGGAGACATTTTTCCCATTATCTTGGTGATTAACATTTGGCTCCTTGTTACTTATGCAAATTTCTGTAGCAGGCTTGAATTTCTCCCCAGAAAATGGGTTTTTATTTTCTATTACATTGTCAGGCTGTAAATTTTCCAAACTTTTGTGCTTTGCTTCCTCTTGAATGCTTTGCCCCTTAGAAATTTCTTCCATCAAATACCTTAAATCATCTCTCTCAAGTTCAAAATTTCACATTTCTCTAGGGCAGGGGCAAAATGCCAGCAATCTATTTGCTAAAGCATAATAAGAGTCACCTTTGCTCCAGTTTCCATCAAGTTCCTCATCTCCCTCTGAGACCACCTCAGCCTGGACTTACTGTCTATATCACTATCAGCATTTTGAGAAAAGCCATTCAACAAGTCTCTAGGAAGTTCCAAACTTTCCCACATTTTCCTGTCTTCCTCTGAGCCATCCAAACTCTTATAACTTCTGCCTGTTACCCAGTTCCAAAGTCACTTTCATATTTTTGGGTATCTTTACAGCGGCCCCATTACTGGGTACCAATTTATCATGTTAGTCCATTTTCACACTACTAATAAAGAAATACCCAAGACTGGGTAATTTATGAAGAAAAAGAGTTTTTTGTTTTTTGGTTTTTTTTGTTTTTTTTTGAGACAGAGTGTCGCTCTGTCGCCCAGGCTGGAGTGCAGTGGCCAGATCTCAGCTCACCGCGAGCTCCACCTCCCGGGTTCACACCATTCTCCTGCCTCAGCCTCCCGAGTAGCTGGGACTACAGGCTCCTGCCACCTCGCCTGGCTAGTTTTTTGTATTTTTTAGTAGAGACGGGGTTTCACCGTGTTAGCCAGGATGGTCTTGATCTCCTGACCTCGTGATCCACCCGTCTCGGCCTCCCAAAGTGCTGGGATTACAGGCTTGAGCCACCGCGCCCGGCTGAAAAAGAGTTTTAATGGACTCAGTTCCACATGGCTAGGGAGTCCTCACAATCATGGCAGAAGGCAAAGGAGGAGCAAAGGCACATCTTACATGGTGGCAGGCAAGAGAGCTTGTGCAGGGAACTGCCCTTTATAAAACCATCAGGTCAGACCAGATGCAATGGCTCATGTCTGTAATCTCAGCATTTTGGAAGGCTGACGTGGGCAGATCACTTGAGGTCAGGAGTTTGAGACTAGCTTGGCCAACATGGTGAAACCCTGTCTCTGCTAAAACAAATACAAAAATAAGCTGGGTGTGGTGGCAGGAAAATTTCTTGATCCCAGGAGGTGGAGGTTGCAGTGAGCCAAGATCACACCACTGCACTCCAGTCTGGGTGGCAAGAATGAGATTCCATCTCAATCAATCAATCAATCAATCAATCAAATCATCAGATCTCATGAGACTTATTCACTACCACAAGAACAGCACACAAAAACGCACCCCCAATGATTCAATTACCTCCCACCCTATGTCCCTCTCATGACATATGGGGATTAGGGAAGCTACAATTCAAGATGAGATTTGGATGGGGACACAGCTAAACCATATCAGACAGGAAATTTAGTTTTAAGTGCAACCAGTAATGAAACTGCATCAATCCAAAAATTGAGTATAGGCCTGGGTATAGTGGCTCATGCCTGTAATCCCAGTACTGTGGGAAGCCATAGAGGGGGATCACTTGAAGCCAGGAGTTCAAAACCAGACTGGGCAACATAACAAGACCCTGTCTCTACAAAAGGTTTAAAAATTACCTGAGTGCAGTGATGGGTGCCTGTAGTTCCAGCTATTTGGGAGGCTGAGGTGGGAGGATCACTTGAGCCCAGGAGTTCAGGACAGCAATGAGCTGTGATTGGGCCACTGAACTCTATCCTGGGCAACAGAGCAAAACCCTGTCTCAAAAAAGAAAAATAAAGAAAAATGAATTTTTTTTTCAGTTTTTGCCCTGTTCTACAATTTGTTCTACAATTGAGTGCTTCCTATATGCCAAACTGTCCAGATAAGATTGACTTATAGCTCAATATAGAAGAATAATTTGAATTGTTATTTTTTAGATTTGGTATTATTATAGCAGAAGACCTAAAATACTAGTTTTTTATGTTTAAAGTTTCCAATATTACTTATTTTTAACAAGAATATTAACAAAACAGCAATAGTTGATCATTGTGTTTAGTTATAATTTCCATTTTTGTAATAAAATTATCTGCTTTTGTACTTGAACTCTTCAAAGCAGAAAGATAAGGGACTGTGGTCTAGCATTAATTTAATATGCCAAAATTGGTAAAAGGAAAGAATAATTCAATATACTCTGTCAAACAGAGTAGTAACCAATTAACTTCAAATCATTTAAATTACTTCTAGCTGTCAGCAAGGAAATTTCAAATCACTTAAACTTCTTCAAGTTGTCAGCAAGGAACAGAGAGAGAGATAAAAAACGGAGATGTGGAAAATAGCTAGAGGGACAAAAGGAGGATAAATAAGGTGGAGGTAGGAAAAGACAATTACTTGTTTAATTTTAAGGCCCATTTTCATAAATGCGAAATGATTCAACATGACTGATGAAGTTGCTCTGGAAGAAGAAAAATTATCTTCTTTGATAGTAATTCCCCTTGACAGTCATCTCAGTAACTTAAAGATGGTCCTGTGCATAAAGGAGCACATTTTCCCACTAGGGATATTGAGTAAAGAATCAGTAAAATTAATGAACAATGGAAAGAAGATTTAGGCTTGAAAAGATCTGGTGTAATGTCAGAGAGGCCTGGGGAACCAGCAGTCTGGAACAAATAGTAAACCCTGGAGAGACAGGGAAGATGAATCATGTAAAGTGTTGTTTGTCATAAATACAGCGAGCTGATAAATGTGTAGCATGTGATACAAGAACACCACGCAAATCAGAATGTATGCTTTATTGGACAGCTGGGAGGAAAGAGTACTGGATTAGGCACTAGGAAAACTAGGGTTTTGGTACTTTGTCCATAGCTTCTTACTGGGGTGCAAGCCTCTTTTTTTCCATTGAAATTATTATATTTCCTATGATATAGTGATATAATTAAAATATATAGTTGGTCTTTGTCCCTGGTTTCTGGCACAGAGCTTCTAAATGCCTTGGAATTTCCTGAGTCTTAGGGGTGGGAGGAGCATCTTTTGTTATTTATGGTAAGCCCCTTTCAACCATACCTGAGTTTATGCTAATAAGGTGAGTCTTGAAGGATGGGGGCTGGTTTGCCAGAGGAACCAACCAAGTGATTAGAGGGTCGGAACTTTCAGCCCAAACTCTCAACCTCCAGGGAGGATAGAGGGGCTAGAGATTGACTCAGTCAAAAAGGGTCAATGATTTAATCAACTACCTATATAATGAGACTTCCATGAAAACACTAAATGATGCGATGAAGACAGTATGCAGGTTTGTGAAGACATGCAGGTTCTGGGAAAGTGGTATACCCGAAGAGGGCATGGAAACTCCATGCACCACTGCCCTCAATACCTTGTCCTGTGCATCTATTCCATTTGGCTGTTCCTGAGTTGTATCCTTTATAATAAACTAGTAATAGTAAGTAAAGCATTTTCCTGAGTTCTGTGAATCATTCTAGCAAATTATCAAACCTGAGGAGGGGGTGTGGAATCCTCCGGACAGGACAGAAGTTGTGGGTAACCTGAGGACACACTACTTGCAATTGGCATCTGCAGTGGGCTAGGGACAGACTTGTGGACAAAGCCTGTAACCTGTGGAGTTTGCCCAAACTCCCAGTAGTAAGGGTCATAATTGAATTGTAGGACACTCAATTGATATCCAGACTGTTGGAAAATTGCTTGATGTAAGGGAAAACCCCATACATTAGGCATCAGAAGTATTTTGTGGGTATAGAAAAAAAAGGGGTATCTTTTATTTCCATTTTAAAATAGATTTTAGTTTTTACAGCAGGTTTAGGTTCACAGAAAAATGGGGTGAAAGATCCAGAGATTTCCCATATACTCCCTGCACCCACATATGCACATCCTGCCCCATTATTAACATCTCCATCAGAGAGTACTTTTGTCACAACTGATGAACCTACATTGACACATCATTATCTCCCCAAATCCAAAGTTTACATTAGAGCTTACTCTTGGTGTTGTACACTCTATGGGTTTAGACAAATTTATAATAACATGTACCCATCATTATAGTATCATAAAGAGTAATTTCACTGCCCTGAGTTCCTCAGTGGTACACCTGTGTATCCCTCCTCACCCCCAACCCCATTTTGTTTTTAAATGTTTCTTTACTTCCCAAGTACACAGACTCCAATGTCACCTTCACTAAAATGAGTTAAAATGAACCAATTTAATTTTGTTGATGTTATTTTTAATTTTATTTAGAAGATGGGTATTGTTTTTGAAGAGATGCATCAGTAGAAGCCTTTCTTTGATATGCTGCATGCTCACTCATTTGGAGAAATACCTGATTTCACTTTATATGAATGTCCATTAGGAAGGGTGCAAGCTAACATCTGCAAAATTCCTACTTTGTACAAAGTACTGTTCTAAGCATTCTATACTGTCACCTCCTTTAAAATTACCACCACCCATCGAGGCCTTGAAAAGTTCAGTAACTTGCCCATTATCACATCACTTGTAAAGGATGGATCAGGGATCACACCAGGATGTCATAGCTTCAAGGTTTGTATTTCTCCATCATAATATTTTGTACATACACACTGGTTGTACCAGTGATAGGGACAGGAGGCACAGTAATTCTAGGCAGAAGAGGCAGGTCCCTGACAAAACCCCACCCTCAAGCCAAAAGGCCTGAAACCGTGGCCCAAAATGAGAACTTACATCCTTGTTTTCCCGTTCAAATGTTGCCTTTTCCTAAACTACCCATGGCCCACCCTGCCTTCCATCCTGTGCCTATAAAGACCCCAGACTCAGCCAGCAGAGAGGAGAAGCAGCGGGATGTTGGGCTGGATATCAGAGAGAAGTGGCTTGACTTCAGAGGGACAGCTTGATAGCATAACTTTGGAGAAGAATCTGGCCAAAGACAGTCAGACTTCGGGGGAAGATTATGTACCTGCCCTGTCCTCTTTTCAACTCTCCTTCCTGCTGAGAGCACTTTCATCAGCAATAACATCCCCTTCATTTACCATCCTTCAATTCATTCATGCAACCTCATTTTTCCTGAGCACTGGACAAGAGCTTGAGAGCCACAAGTGTGGATGTAAAAGGCTATCATGCTGACCCTTTGCCCTCACTGGTAGAGGGCAGCCACCTCATGTGAAAAGGCAGAGGACCCACTGAGCTGTTAACACTTAAGCTGTCCTTGGATGCCAGAGCTAAAAGAGCACTGTAACACACCTTCTAGGGCTTCAGGGTTCAAAGGCAGCCTGCTTGATGCTGCCATGGGGCCTACATGGAGTTTGCTTCTGCTGGGGCCCAAAGCACTTGCCCAGCTTCTGTAACCACTCACCTGCATGCTGCCTCCTGTGAGGGGTGGAGTGCAGTGGGTCTGAGTGAATGGAGTTCACTTCTGCCAGTGCAGAAGCAGCCAGCTGGTTCCAGCACTCATAGACTCCAGTTCCTGCCTCATTCTCTCACATGCTCTCTCCCACAAGGAGTTGAAAGCTGCGGGCTGGGTAAACGAGGCACCCCTGTAGTGAGTCCCATGAATGGATCAGGAAAATACCCTGCTTCACCAGAAATAAGTGGAATGTTAGAAGGAGGATATTTTGAGGGCTTTACATGTTTTCCCACCCATCCTAAACGCGGTTACACCCATTTTAAATAGAAAAAACTGAAGTTGAGAATGATTACCTTGCTTGAATCTTGTTTTTTTTTTTTTTTTATTTATAGCGCTCACTAATACTTCTTAGAGTAATTGCTTATTTAATAGTGAGCTCCATTAGCAGCTCACTAATACTTCTTTTTTTTTTTTTTGAGCATTTTAAAAATATATTTATTGGCAATTTATATCTTTTTTAAGAATGTCTGTTCAGATCATTTGCCCATTTTTTTTAAAATTTATTTATTATTATTATACTTTAAGTTGTAGGGTACATGTGCATAACGTGCAGGTTTGTTACATATGTATACTTGTGCCATGTTGGTGTGCTGCACCCATCAACTCGTCATTTACATCAGGTATAACTCCCAATGCAATCCCTCCCCCCTCCCCCCTCCCCATGATAGGCCCCAGTGTGTGATGTTCCCCTTCCTGAGTCCAAGTGATCTCATTGTTCAGTTCCCACCTATGAGTGAGAACATGCGGTGTTTGGTTTTCTGTTCTTGTGATAGTTTGCTAAGAATGATGGTTTCCTCACTAATACTTCTTAAAGGATTTGTTTATTTATTTGGAGAGAATGCAATATTAAAATCTATACTCAATTTTATCTTTTCAACTTCATCTTTATAGAAAGACATTGGGAAACTAGTATTGTTGCCAAACAGCAGAGGTTTGGTCAAGGTCCAGTTGCTTGCTGTGAAGAAAGTCAGTCATTGAGATGACAAATATTGCCAGGGAAGAAGGCTTTAAGGTGGGTGTTATCAGCCAGGAGATGGGAGATAAGTCTCAAATCTGTCTCTCTAACCCACTAAAAATAGGAATTTATATAGTGGGTAAGAAATGTAGCTACATAAGGTAAAATAGGAATTAGGGAGGGGTAAGGAAAAGGAGTTGGTTAACAGGAAGCAGGTCATTGGTTAGGCAATCATAAGGGAGGAGGGGTTTAGTGTCTCTCTGTCTAGATGCTATTGTCTGGTGAGTTTCAGATCCTTGATACTATCTGGGAGGCCTGAAGGTTAGTTTCCTGACAAGGGAATTCAGATAAGACAACTGTAAGTTTCAAGCTTTATGATGGGCAGTGTCAATTTCTATATTTATTCAAAAAATCTTAAATATTAGTTACATTGGAAAATTGGGCTGGTTTTAGTTCCCCCTTTCTATTACTGGTTCATCAATCATAGGGAATCTTGGTGTTGATCTTTTGGCTGCTTAATGCTGAGAAAGGGAGTGCTGGGATAATGATGAGGAATGAAAACATTATGTCTGTAATTGAAGTACTCATGAGTACCTGGTCGGCATTGGGCTTGTTGGAGCACTATGATCTGGACACTTTCATTAACAGTTTTAGAACAACATTTTAAGCCACATTTAAATATAAGACTGACCATGATGTGTAAGAACAAGATAATTAATAATGTAGATGACCCAACTTTAAAAATACCAGGGAATCTTGAAAACCTGTCCCCTAATCCAGGTATGTTCTCCTTTACATGTTATAACTGGGAGGCTTGCTGTCTTATCCTTCAATATGTACTCCTACTTCAACTGATGTATTAATGTAGGTACAGCAAGATGAATTGGCAATTACATATACCCCCGCCTTGTTCAGTGAGCAAATACTCCAAAGCTATGTGGTTATCTAAAACTACTCTAGCCAAGGAGTCTAGAGACTTTTTTTGGGCAACAATAGCAGTCACTGCTTCACTTGCTATAATCCACAGGGTGATGGAGAGATTTCTAAGTACATATTAATGAGCTGCTACTCCCCGCCATGGGAGTGTAACCAAAAAATATCTGGTTCTGTCAAGAATGCTCCCAGGCAAATACTCTTTGGGGACACCCTAATTGGGGTCTCCCTCCAAGAGTCCTCTGGTTACCCTGGAGAATAATTTCAAAGAACTAGTCCAATGTCTGACCAAGCTCTCATTGTCTACTATAAAAGGGGTGACAGAGTATCCTAGTAGACATTGCCCTTTGTCTACTTTCCTAGGCATCTATATGCCCTAGGCCTATTCTCTTGTTTGCAAACAAACATGTAGCCCTCAGGAGCACAGGTCACTGTATCTTGAGTAGAAGCAGTCATTCAGGCTATCTTTTCTAACCAGAGATCGGTTAGATTATTACCAAATCCAGGTAAAGCCAAGCCTGCCCAGAGTCTTCCTGATTCCTTATATCCTGATCAAATTGAGTTCTGTCTGGGTCACCATTGAAGAAAAAAAGTGCTTGCCTTTTTGTTTATTTATTTTAGGAAAAGTAAGGAATAGCCTTTATGGGATGACAAATAGAAACAGGAGGTCTTCATAGTCCCTAAAAGGGTCCATGTAAGGCATACTCATTACACTATTATTTTAGGAGTCTTTGGATGTTCAAATGTGCAGATAGGGATATGCAAAAAGCTATGAACTGGTTGGATTAAGGAGTCGCTATGGTCCAGAACAGACTGGAGCTTTGGGTGACATATCCACAACAGTGGGATAATGTTGCTGATGAAGCAACAGCTTGTGAAATATGAATTAGTGAATTATCCCTCCATCTAGAAGCAGGAAGGATCTAGAGAACGATAACAGCCTGGAAAGTGAATGTTCCTTTATGATTTCTTGTGTAAGGTCTTTGGCTGGACTTTGAGTATTAATTTAAGGTTGTAGGAGGGCTCACAATATCATGACTGTTTCCTCTGGAGGAATCTTTGAGGGACTAGTTTTACCCAATTTTGGTGAATACATGGCTTAACTTGTCAGATGAGTGGGTGGTCAGTTGTGGTCACCGTTGATCTTCAGCCTGGTGGGATTTCCAGCTTTTCAGCAGGACTTGGTCCCTCGGTTTCACATAGTAGAAAGGCACATTGGTAGGGACCTGGAGCCTATTGGAAGCCAACTTAGATGGACTAGTTAATATATTTTCTATTTGTTTTATGTGTTTGCGGGGAGGTAAAATCTTCAAGTGATAGGGAGTCCAAGGGTAAGAGAAATCGTTCCTCTTACTTAGAATGCACATTCTCCTGACCTTACTCCAAGCATAATGGAAACACAGTTACCACCCCTAGATTGCAGAGCTTGAGAAATCTTCTGGAATTAAACACAAAGTAAACATTTGGCAAAATCTAGACTGGTTTTGGAGACTCTGTTCAAGGTAACAGTTTCAGTCACTTGTTAACACATTTTCAAAATTTTTAAAGGGAGGAGGAATAACTGGTTTCCAATCTACTGACTTCAGTACCATAGTAACAAATGTATTGTTCATATAGGTAGCAGAATGCATAGAAGAATTTCTTTTCTTTTTTTAAAAAATGAAAGTTTATTTAATTTCTAAAAACTGTTAAGTCTAAGTCTGAGAAATGATATCCCAAAGTCTAATCCAATCACCCTCAAAGCACCCCAGTGCTAGAAAGGATTTCAAAGGAGGATAAAAGCAAGATCAGCTTTAACATTAGGCAAAGATCCATGGGCAACCTTCTTTAAACAATAACAAAAAGAGCTTACTAAAGTTGATACTTAAATATCTGAAGTAATGTAATAGTTCATATAGTTCAATAGTAATGGAACAGAAATTGAATCATCTAAACATTTTAAATCCACTCATGATTTTTATTTGGAGAGTTTTTTGGTCTGATCAATGCACATGAGTGGATTATTGTGGAAATTCCCTTGAAAACATGATTTTAAAAGAACTACAGGTCTATCCAGCATCCCTAAGTCTGCCAGTACCCTTATCTCTAGCCTATACTTTGACCCAGAGTGTTGACAAAGTGCAGCACTTGCTACCGTTCAAGTACCAAGGTAGCTTAGTAAAACTGCCTCCTAAAGATGATCACCTCCCTTGTAAGATAACCGATTTCCTCTGAACTAAGTAAAGGGGGAACTTTTAGAATGAACAAAAGACTTAATGAAATGGAAAGTTGTCTAATCTCTAAAGGTCTTAAAAGTAGGACTTGCCATGACTAATTAAGTGCTGATAACAGAAGAAATTCCAACTCCAACAAAAGGAAAGATACACTATTGTGAACGCATTCCCTATGGTAAGCAGAAAATAAACTTTTTATCAGAAAATATTTCATAAATTTTTACTTTTTTTCAGAGCAGGAGTGGAGGTTTATTTAAAAAGGCTTTAGAGCAGAAAAGAAAGGAAGTACATCTGGAAGAGACCCAAGGGGTTGACTTGAAGAACAAGTGCCTAAATTTCTACGTTTTTACTGTATGTTTGGGTAACATAAGGCATCTAAGAGTATTAAATAAATATTACTCCCATTTGGCATGTGGATACAAAGAATATTATGATACTATATATAATTATCTATCCCGCTCCTACAGAAAACAATATTCAGACGCAGTGCGAAACAGCCAAGTTATATTTTCAGAACTAAAACAGATGCCACTTCTAATTCAAAACTAAGAAGAAAAACTGTATATTGTAGAACGAAGGCTTTCCCTTGTGAAATTAATTTTAGTAGCTAACCTCTCAAAAATTTGTAAATGCATGACTTTGTAAAATGTTTTACTCAATATACTTAACTTGTATATATATGCTTTTTCATGTGAAACACAGGAACATATTTTCTATCAGCAATGTTAAAAATATAATTAAAGAAAAAGAAATCAAATTTAACATAAACAATAGGCAATAGAGAAATGTCATTTTAACCTTGGTACCAAGCTACAATTCTTCCTTGGTCAACCTCTCCTATATTATACTAGATATTCAATTTATTTTCAATCTTTCATGAAATTGGACCTCTTACTCATTTAAAGAGTAGGAGAATTTACAATAATTAGTAAAAATTATTCTATTCTCATACATTAGTTATTTGCCTTTGTGGATATAAAGTGGTGACTCAGTACTTTATCAAAATATATGTTTATGAAAATATTGGTAATATAAGATTGAAATTTTAAAATTACATTTTTAAAACTAAACTCTGAGAATTTTTACTTTAAGCATGAAGCATAATTGTTATAGAACTTCTTATGAAATGTCACTTGATTTTCAATAAAAACAACTTCACACAATGCAGAAATGACAATGTATCATCTTGCAACAATATCTTTACATGTCAATCCTAATCTAAAATGTGTTTAAACAACAATGAAAATCTCCTTTAATAAATTCATAAAGTATTATTTTTAACCACTATTGCTCTGTAGCAATAATTGAAGCCCCAACATGAGCACTGAGAATGCGGTAATGAAATATCAAGGGTTGTATCCATCTTGAAATAAAGACACTGATGCTTCTCACCAACTGGAATCAGGTATAGTAAGTACATCAGAGAAATGTGAGTAATCCAAGGAAGTCCCCTGAAATCAACAGTACCATCTGCCACAATTTAAAACATTAAGTGTAAAACTCTGTTCTAATTATTTTATAGAAGTTCTATTTCACACACTTAATATTGTTAAAATATTTGTAAAATTGTAAAATTCTCTATATAAAGGGTTTTGAACTTCTTCAGCTGAACACTTCCTCATTGTCAGAAAAACATTTTTAATGAAAGAAAGAGAGTTTTTCCATGAATATCTGAGCCTGGAGAATAAATTATTTCTTATGATCATAGCCAATTACAATACAAGATAAAAAATTCACAATTTGAAGGAAAAAAAACAAAACCCAGCAAATGTAACTCCTCAGAAAGACCCCTGGAAGGGCCAAACTTCTCTAGATTCCAGTGAATATTGGGGCCAAACAGTATTACAAAAGAATGTCATTTTCTATCATTCCATTGACTCGTAACTATATTCAGACCAGTTTTGAAGAATGCACCCAAGTGGGGGCATTCCTACATCAAATCCTGTGTTCCCTTGATCACATTGACACACACACATACACAAATAAACAATTATCAAAATACAATCTAACTGCAGCAGTGACTAACAAGCCACGAGAGTTCAAACTCAAACAGTTGGGGTGTTTTTTACTCTCATGCCAGTCTAGTACCCATAAAAGACACTCACCTTTATGGATACAGATGTCAAATTTCAAAGGCTGTCCTTCTTAAGTAATTAAGAATATGGTTGGGGCCAGCAGCGGTGAGGGAAGACAGAGAAACACAAACCCACCTCTGGACGAATATAGCTGGGCAGCTGCTGGGAAGGTTTCCAGATCTCTCTAGCCTATGGCCACCGAGCCACAAGCACTGCAATCCAAGTCACAGCACCAGCATTTTATTGCTGAATGCCTGGGTGTTGGCCAAGCTGTGGTTTCTCGCTGTAACGAAAGCTATCCATTGAAACAATGAGTATTGCTAGGGAAGAAGGTTTTAATGTGGATGATGTCAGCCAGGAGATGGGAGATAAGTCTCAAATCCAGCTGACTAAAATTAGAGTTTTATAGAGTAGGGAAGGAATATAACTACGTGTGGGAAAACAGGAATTAGGGAGGGATAAGGAAGAGGAGTAGGTCACCAAGAATCAAGTGGTTGGTTAGTCAATCATGATGGATGAGGGGTCTGGTGTCTCACCAACTGGATGCGGGGATCTGGTGAATTTCAGTTGCTTGATGCTATCTGAGAGGCCTGGTAGTTGGTTTTCTCACAAAGGAACTCAGGTAAGACAAATGTAACTTTCAAGCTTTTGATGGGGAGGGCCAATTTCTATATTTATTCAAAAATTATAAACATTAATTCTGTGGGAAAATTGAGCTGGTTTCAGCACTATTCAGCCAATTGAAACGGAGCTCACCATTTTTTCTAATGTAATAAGTACATATTTAATATATCTCTCTTTACCTTTTCAGATTTACATTAATCCTAAAATAAGGATAGTATTATTTGAAGCTGAGAAAAACATAGTTACACATAGATTATTACTGCACCAAAATGTGTACAGGGAAATATTCTCTCCTGAAGCCAAACTCCCACAGCAACTTTACAAGTGAGCCTCAGAGCAAGGAAATAACTTGGTTAAGACCATGCAGGTAGAGGACAACAGTTGGGATTCAAACCTGACAAATCTGACTTGGACAATTTCACTACTGGCCACCACCAGTTGTTCTCAACTTTTCCTGCATGTTAAAATAACCTGGGGCCTTAAAAAATATCACTAGGCCAAGGCTGTGCCCAGAAACAATTAAATGAGAATTCTCAGGAGGGTCATGGCCCTGGCATCAGTGTTTTTCTTTTTCTTTTTTTTTTCTTTTTTTTCTTTTTTAACGTTCTAGGTGATTTTAATGGGCAGCCAGTTTTGAAGATCACTGCACAATGACTCATCGCTATTCCTGTTACACTCCTAACTCCTAGAAGGCAACTGTATTTAAGAAGTATTTATAGAACTTTAAAAATTATGCCAATACATTAAAAATTTATTATCCGTGTGTTCAAGAACTTAGTAAACAAGATAACACATGTATTTATCAGCTAAATAACAACACAAGGTTGTGCTGTGTTGGTTGATTTGGAGACACATGCTGTAGAACCTAGGGTTTCAAGGATAGATTTAGCACATCCTCAGATTACCAAGCTAGTTTTTGTGCATAAGTATATATTCAGTTCCAAGACTGCTAGATGGATAGATGAATAAAGAGATTATTCATAACTTTTGTCAGATTCTCAGTGTGATCATTGATACAGAAAAGACTAAGAATTACTGCTGAGGGTTCAGAAGAGGGAAAGCTGCAGATGATGCAGATGATGGTCAGAGAGATAATTGCAAAGAAGATAGAACACACACAGGGCATTGAAAGAGCCCAATATGATGATATGAGAGGAAGGAAGGAAGATTCAGAGGGGAGCAGGAACAAAGCTATGGAGGCAAAAATATTTCCCCTAGTTTTAGGGTATTGTGAGGGAAGGTTAGCCTTGAGGCTCCTTGGGAAATTTTTAAGTTAAATGTTAGGGGTGATTTTTCTTCCTTACAGATCTCTCGCTAATTAATAGATTGCTTTTATAAGACTGTGAGTGAAAGGCTTAGTGCTCTAAGAAGATGCTCTAAGAAGACAGAAGGCACTTCTGCAGATTGCTTTATTTTCTATTCAATATAACATTCGGCAACAGTCAAGTATCACGTCCACTGGCTCCTCTGATTTCTGTGATGAGGTCTTTATTACAATTGCTTCCCTGTCCAAGGAGAATTAAAGGCATTCTCTACAATGTCTCCCTTGTTCATCTTAGGAGGGACAGCCAAGGAGAGGTTGATCCACAGGCAAGCTCTGTAAATAGGGACTTCTGTCTCTCAAGGTAACCTGATGTGACTGTCAGGGATGACACGTAATTCCACACTTCCCTTCCTCATTTGAACTTCTTTCAAAGAAGCATGCATGCAAAATTTCCCTGACATAGGGCAAGATATAAAGATTAAAGAGCATCTCATGTATTTATTATCTTTCCCTTGTCATATATATAAATTATCACTAGAAATAGAATAGGGTAGGCTTTGTAACACCATCCTCTCCTGATGAAAAGTAACCAATTCCATATGGTTAAGAGTAAAGGAAATGCTGTCACATGGAAAATGATCAAGAGTCTCTTACCCCTTTGGTCTGCTGAAGCATAATTATCTAAGTGCTCTTAGAATAAGAGCTACCACTTTAGGGGATACTAATTATGTGTTAAGCACCAGGCTAAAGACATTGCACATATTAGGTTATTCGATCTTCACAAACAATGTTGTGAAAAAAATATTATTAACCTTAATTTATACTTGAGGGAATTTGGCTTAGAAATGTAAGTAACCTGCCTAAGATCACACATCTGGTAAGTGGTAGAACCAGGGCAAACTCAGATCTCTTGATTCTCTGCCATACAGATTTAAGTCCAAGTTTGAAACATGATAGTAATACCTTGAGAATAATATGTCATCTACTAGCAATGAATGGAGGATGAATTGGAGAGGGAATTGTCTGGGCTTAGGAAGATAGTTAGGAACACACTAATATAGTAGTCTTTTCCATATCAGCTACTTTTCAATTAGTTTGGAAGTGACCTATTTTAACAGTTAAATTCATTCAGTAGAGATTCTATAAATTATGGTAGAAAACATTGCAGCTATTAAAAACAATGAAGTAATATTCTATATGGATAAAGAAAGATGTCTGAGATATGTTTTCAAATAAATCAAACAAAATATATAATATCCTGTACACTTTGTTACTTTCTGATTGAAATGGATGTATGCATAAATTTGTTAGTAAATGTAAAAATATTCATGGAAAGACACACATGAAACTGGAAATAACAGCTGTCCTTATGTGGCTAGGGAATGAAGTGGGAGGAAAACACAAGTTTCATTGGAGATACCTTTTTACGTTTTGGATGTTGTGCAATGCACATGTATTACCCATTTAAACACAGAGGTATTCTACATGTATGATAACAAAGATGGAGTTCTCAGTGGCAAGTTTGATATTTGAAATAAACTTGCAAATTTTAGTTTTAGAAACCTTAGTAAAATGAGGTATTTTATGAAGCAAACCCATGATGGAGGTTAATTTATTGGTCCTGAAGGGGCATATGCAGGCTGTTGAAGGAATATATTGTTCAGCATATTTACACAGACTTTTGTACTTGTTTATGTTTGAATTAATATGTTTTCTCTTTGAGACTGAATTTTTAAAATATAAGATCACTAAAAAGCCATATTTTGAGGGGATAAATTAATAAGTGGAATGGAAGAAATTCTATTGAATGTTGGAAATATAAAGTATATGAAAAGTCTAAAATGTTTTTACAAAGTATTTCCCTTATTTTCCCACCCTAACTCACATGCAAAGTTCAGAATACCAGAAAACTTGTGTGAGCACATGAGAAAACTGAAATAGATACCAAGTGTTTTGTTCCCACACAGTAATCTTCCTTCTCTTTCACTTATAATTAACACTTTACATTTTTAAACTTTATATATTGCTTAATTTTTGCAAAATCTTCCCTTCCAGTAACATCAGTATATGTAA